AGTAGTTACTTGTCTCTGACGTTTACATTTTCAACATCAGAAAACAGGTTAACGACAACTTAAATGAAGAAACAACAATTAGTTACTCGTCTTGCCTACAATTATACATTTTTTTGCTAAAATAACTTGATTGTAAAAAAAAAATATATTTCAAAGACATGATTATTCATTGGAAGAAACTTTAAAAACATTTGTACTCACTGTGCAAAATATTTAAAAAAAAAAGAAAAGAAAAAAACAATTACTGTTGAAAATATTTGAAAAAATGTCAAAAACATAAAATTTTTTAAAATTTCCTTCACTATTTTGCCCTAAACTCGAAAGAGCATAAAATTCATTTAATATATCTAAAAGTTACTATATATTTATATATAGAAACAATATTTAGACAAAAATTTATTTTAAGACACAAATATATAAATAGTGATAATTATTACTAATAACAAGGTAAACAAATGTATTTGAGACAATTATTATCTATCGTTTCTCGTACAAACAAAATATTTTATATATAGGAATATTTTTTTCTCCAATGGAAAATATGGTTCTTTATTTATATACGCATTTGTCATATTGAAACGTTAGAACAAATTGCTTTTAAATTATCAACAATAAAATGATAAAAAAGAAATAATGATTGTTAATTTAAAAAATTTGTATTTTTTATTGCTTTTAAAAGAGGTTATATGCCTAATTGTTATTAGTTAGAATTTTCATTTTATGAAATTTCATTTGTCATAATTTTTTTTCAGCCGAATTTTTATTCGTTCGAATTAGTATTTTGCAGAATTTTCATCAAAACGATTTTCTATATTGCAGAATTTTTATATAACCGAAAATTCACTTCACAGAATTTTTATTTCGAATTTTCATTTAACATAATATGCATTTTAAAGAATTTTTAGTGGCTAGAATTTCATTGCATAGAATTTTCTTTCGGATGAATTTTCATTTCTTCGAATTATTATTTGATATAATTTCCATATAATCAATTTTTCATACTACCGAATTTTTACTTAACCGAAAAATAATTAAACAGAATTTCTAATTGATAGAATTTTCATTTGTCCGAAATTGCAAAAGGTCGAACAAACAATCGACAGAAAGATTTCGGCGCGATTTTTAAAATCAACCAATCAGAATTTTATGGATAATTTTTGATTGGTTGATTTTAAAAATCGTGCCGAAATCCTTCTGTCGATTGTTTGTTCGGCCATTTGCAATTTCGGACAAATGAAAATTTTATCAATTAGAAATTCTGTTAAATTATTTTTCGGTTAAGTAAAAATTCGGTAGTATGAAAAATTGGTTACATGGAAATTATATCAAATAATAATTCGAAGAAATGAAAATTCATCTGAAAGAAAATTCTATGCAATGAAATTCTAGCCAATAAAAATTCTTTAAATTGCCTATTATGTTAAATAAAAATTCTGACAAATGAAAATTCTGTGAAGTGAAACAGTAAAATACAATTTAAAAAATAAAACTCACTTCTTTCTTAAAAATAATCTTTTCTTTTTGTAAGTTCATTCATTACCAAATTGTTAATGTCACACGCATAATTATTGTATATCTATACACCTGATGAGAACGTGATATAAACTACGTTGAATGGCATAATTTATTATGTGTTTTTTTTAAATATATATTACAGTCATCAGGCCAAATAAATTAACATATGTATTTAATTAGAATTTTCCCTAATTATTGATTCAAATAATAATTGTCTAAAAATTAATTTAAAAATTAACTTATAAACAATATGAAGAGAAATTCGATAAAATTAATTATAATTATAAATTATATGAATAAAAAACAAATTTTAAAATTCATTATAGTGTAAACTTTCAAGGTTATTGATACGTATAGAGATAAAATATTAATAAATTTAATATGTTTTTTCAAATTTAATTTCATCATACTGTATAAATTATTATATAGAAAATGGTAAAAAAATTTCAATGAAATTTGATATATACATGTGCCATTCCATGAGTTTTTTTTATCACTTTTCGGAGTAACCTTTTCAAATTAAATTAAACATTTTTTTTTTATAATATTTATTGATATAAAGGTCCAAAATAATCACTTTTTAAGTAAAAACAATTGTTTATTTAAAAAATACAATAATAAATAATGAAAAAAATTCACTTTTTTTCTGCACCACCAAATAAATTGGTTTAAAGATCAAAATTTTCCTTATTTTTCAAGCTTTCATACCGCACAAGAAAAATGTCATGATTCGAAATAGTTAACTCACAATTTATTAAACAATGTTTTTTACTACGCTAGTGTAATGAGCTTCTGCTCAATAACGAGAGCGACAACTTTCGAACGTTGCGCGCAGCGTTAGCAGACGTTTCACAGTAAATAAAATATAAAAAAGTAAACAACACAGTAAACATGGTTGTATCATTTTCTAATGTAACGTTTTGATGCACATAAGTTATATCAAAAAGAGATCGTTTTTAGAAATGATACACGAAACAGTCTCATTTTTTGATGCAAAAAATTTAATCAATTTATATCAATCATGGCCGAATTGAATCGACTCAAAATTAAACGAATTTTTTTCAGATATTTTGGTAATAGTACAATTGCGGAGACTATTTCACTATTTAATTTGAAAATGAAAATAACAGAAAATCAAAGACAATGTGCAATTCGATAATTAAAAAGTGACAGCTTATAAACATAACCTAAAATGCATGAGAAAAAATTTGGCGATAAAATCAATATAGCCGAGCTTTTTAGAAGGTAGATGGCAGCACTCATCTATTTTCTTTCTTTAAATTTTTTCTGAATTGTTTTTATAAAAAGCAAAACTGCCATCTACCTTCTAAAAAGCTCGGCTATATTGATTTTATCGACAAATTTTTTCTCATGCATTTTAGGTTATGTTTATAAGCTGTCACTTTTTAATTATCGAATTGCACATTGTCTTTGATTTTCTGTTATTTTTATTTTCAAATTAAATAGTGAAATGGTCTCCGCAATTGTACTATTACCAAAATATCTGAAAAAAATTCGTTTAATTTTGAGTCGATTCAATTCGGCCATGATTGATATAAATTGATTAAATATTTTGCATCAAAAAATGAGACTGTTTCGTGTATCATTTCTAAAAATGATACACAAAACGATCTCTTTTTGATATAACTTATGTGCATCAAAACGTTGCAAAGATTTGATGCAATTTTTGGTCTCAATTTGATACTTTTAGGAAAACTGTGAAACATTGTTTAATAAATTAGGAGTTAACTATTTCGAATCGTGATATTTTTCTTGTGCGGTATAAAAGCTTGAAAAATAAGGAAAATTTTGATCTTTAAACCAATTTATTTGGTGGTGCAGAAAAAAAGTGAATTTTTTTCATTATTTATTGTTGTATTTTTTAAATAAACAATTGTTTTTACTTAAAAAGTAATTATTTTGGACCTTTATATTAATAAATATTATAAAAAAAATGTCTTATTTAATTTGGAAAAGTTACTCCGAAAAGTGATAAAAAAAAACTCATGGAATAGCACACATATAATAGTTATTTATTTATTTCGAGTAGTAAAATCATAAAATAGTTATAAAACTCTAAACAGCCAGTTCAATATTGATTTACTTGGAAGATTTGTAGAACATGTGGGACATTCATCTGAAATATATATACTATATATTCTCGAAAATAGAAATTCGAAGTCCGTATTTAGAGTTAATGAGCCTTCACTAAAGACACAGAACTGTTAGTAAAGTGCAATGTAGGTTGACTAGTAAATGTATACAAGTTTCAATATAGCGAGTATACATATGTAGTTATTTACACTATGATTTTCAATTTTCTTTTTTTTTCTTTTTTTTTTGAATTCAAAGAATTTACAATGAATTAAATCGAATTGTGAAAGACTACAATTTATATATACATATATATGTGTGTGTACTTTCTATCCTTTGTGTTTCGCGACTAATTCTATACTATTTGCGATAAAATTTTCCAGTGTTCAACACAAAAATCAAATTCCTATATACACTAAAAGAACAACTGCAGCTTTCTAGAAACATTTCTTTCACTATCTATTACAAAAATTATAGTCAATGCAAAAAAAAAAAAAAATTCAGGCTTCTCGATTTTGAAATTAAATTTGGAATATTTTCATAGCTTTAAATAAAAAAAAAAACAATTTAAACTTTAAAAGAGTTTCAGTGCAAGTGTAAACAATTTTTAACATTTTGAACAATTAAAAGTTACATTTTAATAAAAATTATTATTTTCTGGCAATAGAAAAACAATTTAGATAAACATAACCTAAAATTTGACAATCGTTTTTTAATGTTATAAAAATTTTTAATCTTCATTCAAAAAGTAATTTTTTAAGATTCAGTGTTAAAAAAAATAACTCACATTTTTTCTACAAAAAAACCATTTTAATTAAAATTTATTTTCTTTTTCAGTTATTTGACTTTTAAATAATCAACATTTTTTACTGAATAATAAATATTCATGAAAAATAAGATTTTGCTTAAGTAATCTAATACAACAATCTTTTAAGGAATGAAGACGATGGTATTTATATATAAGTCGGAAATTTGATCCATAAAAAAAAAGTGATTGCACATATGAAAAAGAAGAGCCTAACACTTAAAAATTATTTTAAACTTTTTTTTTAAAAAATGCACGAATAATATTTATTTTATGAAGAGGAAATTAAAAAAAAAAAAAAGAATAAATTTTGCTACAATTAACACTTTCCATAGGATGTAGTTATAGAATTGAAACACATGTGTATTATATAGACATACGTTTGTTTACATTATTATCACTTTGCAATATTCACAGAAGCACAACATCAATTTCAATCATACCAAAAGTTAAAATCAAAATATCGAAAGTATGAAAAAAGAGGTCTCGGGGAGATTGACCCCTCCCCCAGAAAAAAAATTTATATTTGGCAAAAAATTGAATAAATAAATAATATTATATTGTAATGTGTGTGTGTGACAGTTACCTTTTTCGCTAGACTTGAAATTCCAGCTTGCACCTTGACACTTTTTTCCTTAGGGTTGTCATTGATGTAACTGAGGCATGTCGACAAAATTCCAAAACAGACCACACTGGGACTCTCTCTTCTTTGATTCGCACGAATTCGTGGTGTTTCGCCACGTACCGTTGGTTTTGCACAAACACACACACAAACACACACCGCGCCTTAGAGGCGTCCACCTATTGTCAGGTCAACAAATAATTGAGGTAATAATAATTTTTTTTTTTTTTTCTATTATTGACCGAGAAATTCCTCAGCACAAGATGTTGTTCAGTAATGAAATTAAAGACTATAAATATTATTTAGAAATGAAAACTTTTTTTTAAACACAGAACCGAATACTTTTGCAAATACACATACACGTCGATGTTTATTGGCACTGATGTTTAAAGTTCTTGGCTCATCTCTTCAAATGCAGCTGTCTTTTTCCTATCTCTTCCTTCTTATACTATAAACTTTAGTCGTGTAGTGATCATACACTGTTCTCTCGTCCGGAGGCCGCTGGCCCCGCTTCCTCGGTCGCCCACCCTCTTACCGGATCTCCCTTCTGTCTCCTTCCGTCACGATTTCAGCAGACTTGCTTGTGTCGAAGACCCTTTTTTTTCTTCTTCGATTCAGAAAGAAACGAAATGAAGAGGTGTTTTTTTTTATCCTCTATTATTTGTATTTCTCTCTATTCTTTTTTTTTTTTTTGCAATCTTTGGAAATTTAGAAAAGCACTTACAAACCTTGTTATTCGAGTTCTTTCCTTCATATATAGGTGAAACTCGTTTCCCTTGGCTTGTCGTCGTTTTTAAGAGTAAATCGCGCACTTCACTGATATAAGAGTTTAACACCGACACAAATGATCCTATATTTTGTCAATGTGTGTTATTCAGGATATTAAATAAGGACCATTATCATATATAGAATTGCACGATGAAACTCACTATACATCAGTGGTTTACAATGACGGTTGACGGCATGAAACTATAAAATTTTGACGCGAACTGTCGCGAGTTCACGATGAAATCGATACTAGAGCCTCTTGCGTTTAAAAGTTGTACTTTTTGCTATTGGTGGGTAAATTTTGAAACACAAAATAAGCAAAAATAAAAAATATTCTTAGTTTAATATTTTGTTTTAGTTAATTAAAAATAAATTTTACAAATTCTCGAAATTAAGTATTTAATGAAAGATAATAAAAATTGCAATAATAAATAATAAAATATATTTATTAATAACTCGAATTTTGAAAATAAATATTTTTTCTTCTTAAATTTAAAGATATTTTTAATAAAAAAAAGTTATTAAACTAATAACTTTTATTCAACTTTTTTTTTAACCCTAATATATTAAAAACAAATAATTATTGTAAAAATTAATTTAATTTAAGTTTTTAGTTTCAATTAAAATCAATAACATTGTCGGTCATGAAGAAAACTTCTATTTCAAACAAAATTCTATTTCTATTTCAAAAAAAATTCAAAATTAAAGAAAATTCATTTAATAGTGTAAAAATTTAATTTCATGAGTAAATAATTTGAAATTTAAATTTTAGATAAATTAAAAATGAATCGAATCAGTTTATTTTACAGTGCATTTAGATAGTTGTATAAAATTTATATAAATTAATTGAAATACAAGTTAGTTTTAATAAATAATAATTATAAAATAAATTCTTTTAAAAAGGCAACTATTTATTATTTTTAATTAACTTTAACATCTTTTTTTTTTATCATCAATTAATAAATTTTAAAATAGACTTTCCTTTTTACAATTGTCGATAACTTTTAAGATGGATATAGTCCCTTTCACACGGCATAGATGGCGTAAGCAGTAAATTTTCAAATACTGACTGAGAAAACAATAAATTTATTTAAACTAACTGTTGAAATATTTCAAGAGATTGACTCATATTATAAAAACAACGTGTTTCCTGATTTCAAGGAAACGTTAAATCATTTTTATATCAATTCAAAAAATAAACTTATATTTTTAAAAATTAACCTATTTTCTATTGTGTATTTTTAATGAATAGTAAAATATTAATAGAAAATTATTCAATTTTGATTCTAATTATAAATTATATAAATTATATAAATTATAATAATTAGATAAATAATGTAGAAATAAATAAAAAAAGCAATTATATTAATTTATGAATAATTATGATTTAAAAATTATAAATATATTTTTTTTCTGAATAATTAAAAAAATATGAATTTATAGTTTACTAATGTAAAAAAATTTTGGTAAATAAATACCTAATAATTTTTTTATTTATTTTATTTAATAGTAATAATTATAATAATTTTTTTTTGTTTTAGATATTACACGCAGAGAAAAGATTTCTTTGATTTAAAGAAACCAATTTCATTGACTTGTTTTCTTTTATTCAAAATAAAATTTTTTTTGAAACAAAAAAAGTTTTTTAGTTTCAAAGAAAATTTCATTGATACAAAGAAATTTTCTTTGAATTAAAAATTTATTTAGAAATTTTAACATTGATATATTAGGGTCAACGAAACATTTATTTGAATTAAATAAAAAATTTCTTTGAAACGAAGATAATTATTTTTTTTGAATCAATGAATAATTTGTTTGAAACAAATCAATTTTCATTGTTGAAAAATTTTTTAAAGAAATTGATTTCTTTGAATTAAAGAAATCTTTTTTCTGGGTGTATACTAAAAAAATGTATTTGATTCAAATAATCCATTGACTATTTTCAAATAAATATTTCTTTGAATCAAATATAATTCATATTTGAGTCAATTATTATTTTTTTTTTTAAATACAGAAATTATTCATTTAAATAAAGTTTATTTGATTTAATTAAAAATTTATTTGATACAAATAAATAATTTGGTATAATAGTCAAGTAACAAATTATTTGAATAAAATTCATTTTTCAGTGTATCATTTCAAAATTATAATAATATCTTTATTTCTTTTATACTTAAAAAATAAATAAAATTATAATTTAAATAAATAATAGTTTCTTAACTTAAAAAAAAAATGATGTAAATAAAATATATTAGAATATTAAAAGTATAGTAATTTTCAATAACTATATATGACAAAATTTGTTATCACTATAAACTTTTGACCTAAAATTGAAGAAAACGTTGTTGTAAATATGAAAACAACGTGTAGTTATATTTAAAATAATATCGTTGACCTAAATGAAGAAATGCAGGTTGTCATCAACAGAGATTAATATTGTGAAATTGTTATATATATATTTTTTTTTAGAAACAAAATTGAAATTAAATAATAAAAAATTGTATTAATATGATTTTAATATATATATTTTTTTTTTAAATTTTTATCACTTACCCTAAAAATTGGTTGCGCCTAAAAACTGATGACTTATGTGAGTTGCGTTAAAATTTTGTTAGACACATGTTGAACTGGCGCACTCATCTCTTTGGTGACTGGGGGCCTCATATGAAAAAGAAGAAGAAGAAGAAATAAAGAACAAGAAGAAGAAGACGAAGAAACGTCGTCGTCGTCGACGTCGGGGCAAATCGGTCAAGCCGGCTCGACGCCAAAATCAGCTCAGTTGCTTTCCGGTCGGTTTTATAAATACTGCAGACAGCAAGAGAGTGCACCGAACACTGTCGACGTGAAAAGTCGTATTAGTTCTTTTGGATAAAAACATTTGAAAATCAACGTTAATTAAAACAAGAAAGAAAAATATGGATAATTCTTCTTTATTTGATTTTAAAATAAAATTTCCATTTGGCAAATTTATTTTATACATTTGACTCGATCATTAATTTTGATTCAATGTATAAATATGTTATTCACGTCCAAATGTGATATTTTTGTGCGTTGAGAAAGCATGGATAATAAATGTAAGTTCCAAAATAGACACTTTGAAACATCAATTTTTTTAAATCAAATTCTGTTCTTTTCAATTAAATTAAATATACGATATGGTAATTCAAAAAAATAGTATTTTACATTAAATTTACGTTATTTTACATAATACCTTTTCTTTTTACCTTTATGTGTAACTATTTTTTCGTGAATAAAATCTGATGATGATATTTTTTAAAAAATAAAAAAATGTTTTTAAGACATTTTTTTAAATTTTCAATAATAAAATTTTAAAAATTATTTTTTAATTACTGTAAAGCTATTTTTTCCAACTAATTATTACTATTACGATGCTGAAGTATACGCAACGTTTATGATAAACGATTTTTAAAGAAATAATTTTTTTCCTAAAAAATATTTTTTTATAATTCGTTGATTAATGAAAACTAGAAGAAATATTTTTTAGGCAAAAAATTATAGAATTTTTCATTTAAAAAAATTATTTCTTTAAAAATCGTTTATCATAAACGTTGCGTATACTTCAGCTTTGTACTATTTGAAACTATTACTCAAAGTATGAAATTAGTATTTTAAACATAAAACCTATTTAAAAGAAAAAACTGATAAATTGTGAACTAATTTTTTGAATTAATTTATTAATTTTAAAAAATTATTTATTTTTAATTATTTATTAATTTATTAAATATTATAAATAAAATTAATAATTCCATTTAAATTGAATGTGGAAGTGGTTATTTCCGGAAGTGGATTATTCAATAAAGGGAAAGTTATAAAATAAAGAGTGGTAATTTTATAAAAAGTTAATTAAATATGAGGATTGTTTCGACTATAATATAATAATGTAATGTGAATTAAAAGAAAAATTGTTTGATTAGCTCGTTATAAATTTCTCGATTCTTTTAGAAAGATTTGAAATGCCAAGGCGCCACTTTTAAATATATATATTATATATCTTTGTAGTATTGTTTTGCAGTAATTGGCAACCGAAGGCTCCACTTATGCAACTCAATATAACATCAAGAAACAGTCCTCATAAAATTTCTTTTTTTTCAATTATTACCTCCCAAGATTCCTCCAAAGCGCAATAAAGTGAATATACATATATTTTCCTGAAAAAAAAGTAGAAAAAAAATTTTGTTATTTCTTCATTGAAATTAAAAATATAAAAATAAAATTTTGATGCATTAATTAAAATTATAATATATTCAGAATTTTATTAATTTATTTATAATTATAATAATTATTGTTTTGCCATTGTTTATAAAAATTGGATAAAAATTAGAATTGTTCATAATATGAACAATTCTAAAAAAATAAATAATAAAAAAAAAATAAATCAAATTCTAAAATTTAGATATTACCTAAATTTTAAGAAAAAAAATACAAAATGTTTATTAATTATTATTTAACAAAAAATTTTAACTCAAAATAATTTTTTTCCAAAAATTGTATAATCTGTCGAATTTGATTGTAATAAATTTTAAATATATATTTTTAGTTCTTTGAAAAACTACTTTTTAGTTTGAGGTTATGTTAATGGGTTGAACCTCCTTAATTATTTTTATATTATTTATATTATTTTCTATTATTTAATATAGTTTTTTTTCAATTTTTGGAATAATTTAATTATACACATATAACAAATAATAATTATGACAAATTTTAATAAAAAAAAAAAAGGTGAAGAAATGTATCAACAAGTGAAGAATACAAAAGAAATCATGCAGTCAATAGAAAAAATGCGTGCTTCTCGAAAGAAAAATGGACTTGAATCTACGAAATGTGCAATAATTTGGGATACGACATAATTCGAATTTTTATTTAATTGTGAATATATACTTTTATATATATATATAAATTGAATTATATAGAAAATTGTTTGAAAAATATATTGGCAAGGTGCCAACTTTTATCGAGGAAACCACATAACTGACACCTGGTGCGGATTCGTCACAATGAAATTTGACACACAGTTCAAACTAAGTATCAGGATGTAGTGCCTCGTGAATTACAGCACTCGAGTGTAAAATTACGTTGATTCATAAAGCGGAAGTGCAAGTGTAGTGGAAAAGTAAGGATGAGTCTGACCAAGAAGGCCATAGGGGGATCCATTCACAGGATACGAGAATTTGAATTGGAAAAGGTAAAGGAGAGTTGAAATAAATTTTATAAAATTTTAAATTCAAATTTTAATATAAGTTAAATTAGATAATTTATTATTTTTATAATTTTTATTCATTTTTTATACTGGGGTGTTCCAAAAGTATGGAAACTTGCAAATATCTAGAAAAATACGAATTTTCGTAAAAAATGTTCAAGACAAAAGTTGTTTCAAAAACAAAAAAAATCTACTCTCTTAATTTGAATCAGTGAAATTTCACTGATTCAAATTAAGAGAGTACATCTTTGAAACCAAAAAATTGGGTCCGGAGCCCAATGTTGGGCCCTACAATGAAAAAAGTGGTTTTCTTAAATGAGACCACTAATTTTCAGTATCAAATTCGTAATCCCCATGAAATTCTGCATTCAGACATGTGGTATAAGTGCCCAAAATATTGGGCTTAATCCAAGATATTAGATCCAAAATTTTTCTACAGATAAATAAATTTTAAAAAAATTGTATCTTAGAAGGTTTTTGAGATCATAGGATTAGAAATTCGAAGCTAATTTTCAAATTTGGCATAGAGTCCAATGTAAGATTCCGCGGCCCAATGTGAGGCCCATAGTAAAAAAATTAGTTGTCTTAAGGCCATGTGAGACAAAGTCACTTTTTGGTAGTTCCAAGTATTCTCGGAAATGAGAAGAAATTTCGGGTTGAAATTTTGAGGAATGATAAAAAAGGGTTGAAGGAATTGGGCCGTTCTACTTATTTACTGTAAGTGAATGCGAAATAATTTAAAAAAGTAATTAATAGTGGAATTAATAGGTTTTTGTTATTTCTTTGAGCGGCCACTAACTCGAATTGGCGCTAGTTCCTGGACCACTGATACATTCACGCAACGTCTGTGTGTACCCCCGCCATGTTGACTTCAACTTTCGTTCAAAAATGGAAATTTTCAAACTTTTATTTTTAATACTTAAACGCAAAATTGTGCTTCAAATCGAGAACAGCGCCATTCTAAATGCTATTCTCTATCATATTTTACAAATTTCAACCAAAAATTCTTTACCATTTTAGAGAAAACTTGGAATTACGATACCATGTTTGTTATTTCCCACATGGCCTTAAATATAAAACAGAGTGGCTATTTCGCCCGTCGTGGGCGAATTAATTCATTTCTCTTATTTCGCCCACGACGGGCGAAATAGATGCGCTTGTGTGAAGTGGCTATTTCGCCCGTCGAAATAAATGTGTTTTAAAAGACGGGCGAAATAAGAAAAATAGATTACTTTGCCCGTCTAAGAAAAAGTCGAATATCTACAAGACGGGCGAATATATTATTTCGCCCGTCAGGTGATAAAACAAAAACGGACGAAATAATTAAAGTATAATATTTCGCCCATCAGGTATAAATATGGTTGGATTTTTCTTATTAAAAATTAATTTTACAATTAATTTGAAGTTGTGAAAAATAATTATTATATATTCAATAATGACTTTATTTAAAAAAGGTTATAAAAATATGGTTTTTTAATATATGTGTTGTTAAATTTACATGCACTGAAAAAAGATTTATTTGTTTCAGATAATCAATAATAATTTTTGTATTTGAAAAAAATACTATTTAAATGACTAAAATAATAATTATTTAATATAAATAAATATTTATTTGATAATTTAGTCAAGTGACTGATTATTTGAATTAAATAAATCTTTTTGCAGTGTGTATTTAATTTTCGTATTTGAATAAATAAAATCAGATACGAAAAAACTATATTCAATTATAAATTGTACAATTAAAAATAAGCGTACTATAATAATTATAGGTTAAATAAATTTTAGATAATAGCTTATAAAAATATTTTATTATTTAAAATTCTGAAAAAATTCGATTATTTTATTATTTAAAGTTCTGAAAAAATTCGATTATTTTATGATTCATGTCAATAAAAAAAATTAAATAATTATTTTTATAAAATATATTTAATACACACAGATCTAAATGTCAGAAATAGTCGATTTTTAAATTTATTTCAACGGAAGGGACCAGTAAAATTTTAACCTTTTAACATTTATATTGTCTATTTAATTTTTTTTCTGGCATTATTTAGGGTTTAAAATTATTCTAAATTATTGAAATTTGAAAAAAAAATATTTTTGTCAATTTTAGAATTTAAATTTTTTTTTGAAAGTTAAAAATTTTAAAAACCAGAAAATTATATATACGATTGATTGTTCGGAATTATAAAAGAAAGTATGTATAAAAATTGCCGATGAAAAATAATATAAATTGTCGAAGAAGTTTAATTTTAAAAGTATTGACAGTAAAATTTTAAATATATTAATATAATTTTATTTTTTTCCAGAAATCCAAATATTTTTTTTTAAAAATGTTAACATATTTAATATGTTAATCTTTTTTAAAAAAATATTTTGATTTCCGGCCAAAAATGAAATGATATTAATATAATTTCAAAATCCAAAAAACTTAACAATTTTTAAAAAATTAAAATTTAAACCATAATAAAAATTTAAGTTTTTTTCCATTTTTATAATTATTTTATGAAAATAATTATGTAATCTTTTTTTTTACTTACTAGTATCATAAAATAATCAAATTTTTTTTTCAAAATTTAAGTAATAAAATATTTTTATAAGCTACGGAATATTGCGTCTAAAATTTATTAAACCTAATTATTATATGTGTGCTAATTTTTAATTGTACAATTTATAATTGAATCTATTTTTGTCGTATCTGATTGTTATTAATTCAAATGCGAAAATTAACAAGTAAATTTAACAACACGTTATATTAAAAAACTTTAATTTTTTATAACCTTTTTTTAAATCAAGTTGTTATTCAATATAATAATTATTTTTCAAAACTTCAAATTAATTTTAAAATTAATTTGACAAATATGCAACAGCTGTTTATACCTGATGGGTGAAATATTGTACTTACAATTAGATTATTTCGATCGTTTTTTTTATCACTTGACGGGCGAAATAATCCATTTTTCTTATTTCGACCGTCTTCTAAAACAAATTTATTTCGATGGGCAAAATAGCCACTTCACACAATCGTATCTATTTTGCCCGTCGCGGGCGAAATAAGAAGAATGAATTAGTTCGCCCGAGCGGGCGTAATAGATGCAGCCTAAATATAACCCGTTAATTTTAAATATCCAATTCGTAATCCCCATGAATTTCTGAGTTTAGACTTGTAGTACAAAAGCCAAAAATATTGGGCCCTCACATTTGGTTGAGGAATCTTACATTGGACTCGGTGCCCAATTTGAAAAGTAGCTTTAAATATCTAATCCTGTGACCCCAAAAACCCCCAAAGTTGCGATTTTTTAAATTTATTTATTTGTCAAAAAATGTTGAGCCCAATCCCAGACATTGGGCCCAATATTTTTGGCTTTTGTACTACAAGTCTAAACCAAAAAATTTATGGGGATTACGACTTGGATACTTAAAATTAACGGGTTTTATTTAAGACAACTAATTTTTTTACTGTGCTCTCTAAATCTGAATCAGTCATATTTTACTGCTTAGCAGTAGAAATCTACTAATTGCCATAGCGAGAATTGAGCAACTGACAATTAGTAGAAATTTACTGATTCAATTAGTAAAATATCAATTACTGATTGAATCAGTAATATAAATATATGGCGGCGGCCACAAAATCTACTGATTTAATAGTTAACTTTAAAGGTTATGTTATTATAAAAATTACTGATTTACATAAGTTATTTTCTATTGCTTGCATATATTCACTAATTATATTAGTAAATTTCAAAAAATAACTGAAACTTCAGTTAAAATGAAAAGTACTGATTGAATTAGTAAAATTTCTACTGATTCAGATTTAGAGAGTGAGCCTCACATTGGGTCGCGGAATCTTACATTGGGCTCTATGTCAAATTTGAAAATTAGCTTCGAATTTCTAATCCTATGATCACAAAAACCCTCCAAGATACGATTTTTTACAATTTATTTATCTGTAGATAAATTTTGGACCAAACATCTTGGATTAGGCCCAATATTTTGGGTACTTGTACCACATGTCTGATTGAAGAATTTCGTGGGGATTACAAATTTGATACTGAAAATTAGTGGTCTCATTTAAGAAAACCACTTTTTTCATTGTAGGGCCCAACATTGGGCCCCGGGCCCAATTTTTTTGGTTTCAAAGATGTAGATCTTTTTGTTTGGAACAACTTTTGTCTTGAATATTTTTTACGAAAATTTGTACTTTTCGAGATATTTGCAAGTTTCCATACTTTTGAAACACCCTGTATATATATATTTATATAAGATAAATGTTTAAGAATTTAATTATTTTTAAATTATTTTGTTTTTCACTTCAAAGTAGATTCTATATATGGCAATTATACTTTTGAAACGTGTAATTTAAAATTTTCTTGAAAAAAAACTGATTTTTCTTTTATTATTTATTTGTTATTTATTTACAATTTTATTTTATTTTATTTTTCATATATTTGAGCGATTGATTATATGTGAAATTTTTAGGTACCATTTTAAATTTGTTTTCAAATTCAGTTCATTTTTTATCATTTTAATAAAGAAATTATAATAATTTTTTTATAAACAAATTAATTTCTTCTCGGGTCATTAAAAAATTTTCTTTTTATTTAATCGAATTTACAATGTTGACTATAAATTTCACATGATTGTTTTCAAATTTGTTTTTCTGAATATAATAAAAGTTGCTAAATACGAATCTTAACGATTTTTTAAAAATTGATTTGATTAATTTAAAATTTGTTAATTAATTAAACAAATTTAAATATTTTTTGCTTTTATATTTTTATTTTGTTAATGATAAAATAAAAATATACCAAAAATTATATTTTTCAATTAATAAAAATTGTAGAAATAAATATTTTTATATATATGTCTAAAATCTAAATAGATATACAATAGAAATAGTTAAACTGCTTTTATTTATATGGAAATAAAAAAAAAACAGCCATAAATTGGATATAAAATGTAATTCTTTTTATAAGATCGATAAA